TTTGAAGTCAAAGAGAACTTGCTGAATACCAGGTCTATCACTTAGGACGTAACATCAGACAAATTACTTCATCTCTCTGAGCCTGTTTCTCAACTAAGATAATAAGACATTCACCTCTCAGGACTATCAAGAATATTAAATGAGATAATACAGACAGTGCAAAACATGATCTTAGGATACCGTTAAATGAAAGGTTAAGAATAGAGTAGAAGCACCTGGCTGGCTCAGCTGACAAAGTGCGAGACTCTTGATCTCAGGGTTTTAAGTTCGAGCCCCACATTGGGTATAGAGATTACTGAAAAATAAAAATCTTCAAAAATAAAAAATTCTTTTTAAAGAACAGAGTAATAAAAATGTTCATCTGTGAGTTTGAAAGTGGGTTTACAGTTTGTAATGTTTAAATGTTAATTCCTGTTCAATACATAAAAGAGTACATCTTAAATAAATATTTACATTCAGTTTTATTTTTTTAAGTCCTTATCAAAGATACACATTCAAGTAGTTAGAAAGTGAAATGGAAAAAAAAGAAAGGAAGTGAAATGACATGTGTCTGGGACTTGCTTTAAAATATGCCAGTCTCCTGGGCGGCTCAGGCGTTAAGCGTCTGCCTTCGGCTCAGGTCGTGATCCCAGGTTCCCGGGATCGAGCCCTGCATCAGGCTCCCTGCTCAGCGGCAAGCCTGCTTCTCCCTCTCCCACTCCCCCTGCTTGTGTTCCCTCTCTCGCTGTGTCTCACTCTGTCAAATAAATAAAACCTTTAAAAAAAAAATATGCCAGTCTCCCAACTCCTGTGCCAAACGAACAAAAAATGTAGAGACAGCTGAAGCTGGGTGATGCATACATGGAATATCACCATACTATCCTACTTCTGTGCGTACTTGAAATTTTCCATATTAGAAAGGTTTTTTTTTTAAATCTAACAAAAACAGGGGCGCCTGGGTGGCTCAGTCAGCTAAGCGTCTGCCTTCAGCTCAGGTCATGATCCCAGGGTCCTGGGATCGAGCCCCACATCGGGCTCCCTACTCAGCGGAGAGCCTGCTTCTCCCTATCCCTCTGCCTGCTGCTCTGCCTACTTGTGTTCTCTATCTCTCTGTCAAATAAATAAATAAAAAATCTTAAAAAAAAAAACTAACAAAAACAGATATTAAAAAAAAAACAAAACCCTAAGAAAAACTACGCACATCACTAATAAACTCCCAAGAAACCAATGTCTCCATCTGAAACTTTTTTTTTTTTTTAAAGATTTTATTTATTTATTTGAGAGAGAGAATGAGAGACAGAGAGCATGAGAGGGAGGAGGGTCAGAGGGAGAAGCAGACTCCCTGCCGGAGCAGAGAGCCCGATGCGGGACTCGACCCCGGGACTCCAGGATCATGACCTGAGCCGAAGGCAGTCGCCCAACCAACTGAGCCACCCAGGCGCCCCTCCATCTGAAACTTCTAAAGACAAGATAACACCGGTCATTTCAGCCAAAAATACATAAAGTATTTTATTTATTTATTTATTTATTTATTTTAAAGATTTTATTTATTTATTTGACAGAGACAGAGATAGCGAGAGCAGGAACACAAGCAGCGGGAGTGGGAGAGGGAGAAGCAGGCTTCCCGTTGAGGAGGGAGCCCGATGTGGGACTCAATCCCAGGACCCTGGGATCATGACCTGAGCCGAAGGCAGACGCTTAACGACTGAGCCACCCAGGCGCCCCAAAAATACATAAAGTATTTTAAAATTACTCTCAACATAAAGCATGTCTTATCTCTTCATTTAATACTAACTACATAGCAGTACCTTCTCTTTCTTTGGTATTATTATTCTTCCACCTGGTAGAACAGCCCAGGGTATATTTTTCCTTTTTCCCCTTTATACATTGTTACATTTTTTATGACTAGCACTACTACTAGTTCTATATATATATATACATATATGTAACCTAACATATATATGTATACATGTATATACACTAACACATGCCAACACCACACACACACACACACACACACACCCAGGACTACTATCCCATTATTAGTACTATTACATCTACTATTTAATAGTGGACCCACTGGGTATACTTGACCTTTTAAAAAGCATGACTCATCTGAAAGGGTTAAAAAAAAAAAAAAATCCCTCACATAACACATAACATTCACAATAGCAGCCAAAGTGACTGAGGAAAAGCTGTGAACTATAGTCCATATGCAGGTTTACTGTAGTTTACACACAGATTTTCAATTTGTTGATATACCATACATTAGACAAACTGAAAGTATCAGTTGAAATTATTTAAAGGTAGCCATAAATACCTTCAAATAAAGTTTGTAAGTGAATTACTACATAACTTTGAACACTACAGTAGAGAGAATCTTAAAATATTTGAGCTCAAGACTGAACCTAACACTATATACCCCCATGTTGTTTCAAAATACAAATGTTTACTACCATTTAAATATTCACATGCTTTGCCTTTCCATAATTCTAATAGCAAGTACACAGAGAACAGTCTCCTCCAAATTTGTATCCAAAGGGATAAAGAAGGAAACAAAACAAACAAACAAAAAACAAAGAAAACCCAAAGGGATAAAGAAGCACATTATACCAACTTCCCTATCAAATAGTACTACTTAGCAAAAAGCAAATACAAAATATGTTCCATAATTTCACTTCAAATGTGCCGAGGCAGTTTCTTTCTTTAATTCAGGTATGTGCTTTCAAACACATAAATCAGATCTAACTAATTCTCAGACTAAGTGGATTTAAATGTTCTTTTGCTGTCTTTAAAGAAAAAAAAAAAGGTAGTTTAAAATAGCTCCACCTCCAGAAGCTTGGCAGGCTCAGTCCCTAGAGCATGCAACTCTTGATCTCAGGGTTGTGAGTTCGAACCCCACATTGGGTAAGGAGCCTACTTAAAAATAAAATAAAAAAAGAAAATAGTTCCACTTCCTAAAGAACATACATGGTCATTCATGGTACTCTTTTTTCAACTTTTATGTATATAAAATCAGAGGAAAATTAACTAAATTATAAATTCGGAAAGCTCTGCTCCCCAAAATACCCCCAACTCCAATTTACATGACACTTCTTCTTCCTCTGGAGCATAAAACTGACTTCATTGGTTTATTCATCCTCAATCTGTTGGCAATATTTACTGAGTCGCATCACTGAATTAAGTAATCTGGAAAGTTACAAAGGAAGTAAAGGACCTAGTAACCACCCTCAAAGAGTTTATATATCATCTCCATAAGGGAGGAAAAACGTAGTTACTGAAAGAGTATCCTTGCTGAGGATCTTACAGTCAAATGTGGAGCAGGGACTCCATTTTCAATACAGATTCTCTGCACTAAGTAATGCAAGACAGTACCTACAAAATTAAACAGACTCCAACAGTGGTCAAATCTGTTATTTATGGATTATATAAGCTGCTACACACTTCTACTGCATGACAAAGGAAGCCTGCTCTTGTAAGTGGAGGTTTCCAAATGTCCCTAATGTACACAAAGAGACGTACTCCAAGCATGGGCCATTTTTTGCCACTGTGCCTAATAACATCCTATTTCTGCCATAAGCCACAAACAAAGTGTTTGGTCACCAATATTAGGGTCCTACTCTGAGGGAACAACATCGATTTTATATCCTCAAAGACCAAATAGAAAATTCCAAAAAACCTGACAGTTTAAGAATGTCAGCTGTATCTACTAGAGAAGTAGCTGAAGAATAAAGAATGACAATGAATTATCCTTCTAGTCTTCAAGTTGTAGATTTGTGAGAAGTCATTTGCCGCCCCACATTTCTGTTGGCTCAGGAAATTTCCTTTCTCTCTGTCTTCGGATTATGTATGTCTTTTCCTCTTATGAATTACTCTGTATAGAATACTAGAGCAGGTATCACAGTGGGACGGGACGGGGCGGGGGGGAGGGGGGGGCGGGGAGTACTGTCAAGCCTAGCAATTTTCTACAAACCAGCGATCCCATGATCATGAACACCTTACAGAATTCTAATGATACAACTTCCCACACAAAACTGTATCAAGCAGCAGTTTCATTCTATTTGTCAACCTCTAGGTCTAATTCTATACACCTAAATCTTAAAAAACAAGCAAACAGACAAACAAAAACCCCAGAACCCTACCAGAGTTGCTCCCAAACTTTGAGAATTTTCAAATATGTCTGCAGCATTAAATCAAGAGAAGACATGTCAGTTAACTGACTCACATTAAAGAGTATTAAATCTAGATTTCATTAAAAGGTACTCTAAAATCATATTCAGACGTCAGAAAGGCAAGATCCCACAACCCAATCACAAATACTGTATAGGTATTACAGCTTCGACTGCTGTCCCCCCACCAAAACTTTTCAAGCTTTGGGACTCTAATTTACTTGGAGTAATAGCTTGAGATTCACTACAAATTGACCAAAAGAAATTAAGAAAAAAAAAAAGATACATTAGCTTCAACACCCTATTTGATAACACGAATTTGCTAAATTACAAAAGAATGGGGTAAAGACAGTAAATTCGGTATTGACTACAATACACATCAGAACAGAACCTGAGTTACCTAAACAAACGTTATCTACTGCCAATAAATAGATCATTTCTTAACAGCTTAGGTACGCCCGCCAACCATTTTTCATGTTTAAAAGGGCTGCTACGAACTGTCCAAGACTAAACAAATAGCCAAATTCTAAGCAGGTCTTCCGCGAGGAGCCACTGTGCTTAGAGCATCACACAAAAGACCGGAGCAAACATAAACACGCTCTGGGCCTTCGCAGACAGCCGCCAGGAGCCAGGTCTGAGTCCCAGACCCCCGTACCAGGGAGGGAATGAAAGGGGGGGGGGGGGGTCCTCTTCTCGGAATGCGCTGGGGAGCTAGTTAGAGACGGGGAGGGAAGGAGCGCAGCACAGAGGAAGAGAGAGAAGCAGCGGACCGGCGTCAGCGGCGTCCAAGGCCGGCAACACCCTCGGGCCCGCACCAGGCCTGGCCCTCCCGGCCCCGTCCCGCCTCCTCACCTCCCTCACGTCCTGCAGGCACTCGAGAACCGCCAGGTTGTTGCTCCAGGTGTGCTTGGGACACACACGGGTCACGTCCTCCCTGCAGGACTCTTCCTCCGCCAGCTTCCAGCCCCCGCCAGCCCCGCCGGGCCCCGCTCCGCCCCGCCGGGCCGGAGGCCCACCCGCCGGGAAAGGCGGCTGCGGCGGCTGAGGCGGTTGCTGCGGCTGCTGCGGCTGGTGCTGGAGCTGAGATGACTGAGGCAGCTGGAGCAGCGGCTGACCTGCCGGCCCGCCGCCTCCAGTCTGCCCTACAAAGGCCGGAAAGTTGGCCCCGGGGCCCTGGCCCTGGCCGTGGCCGTGGCCGCCCGGGCCCAGGAGTTTCTGGGCCCCGGCCGCCGCGAGCAGCAGCAGCTGCAGCGCCGCCGACAAGCGGAACATCCTCCGTACACGTCCACACGCCGCCATCTTGGGTCCGCGGCGAGCTCGACGCACCCGTCGGCGCCGCGTATTTAAATGAGGGGGCGGGCCCGCGGGCGGGGCCCAGTGGGGCCAGTCCGAGCCCCTCCCCGGCCGCCGCAGATCGGCGAGCCGGGAGCGGAACCTTGGAGGAGGCTGCGCTTGAAACGGCCCACGCCCTGGGCCCTGGAGGCTTTTTGCCTGGGGAATTGCTGGAGCGCCTTGAAAAGCCTGGGCTGGGCGGCTTTGCCTCATTCCCTTGGTTGTCGTCACAGAAAAATAAAGAGGAATTGGGATTGCCACAACCAAGATGGCCGGTAGAGTATGTCGCCTGTTCAGTGATTGGGGGGAAAAACTAAAACAAAAAACTTTGTGTGTAGAGGTGAACTTTACACGATCAGGTGTATTCCGAAATCTAAGAGCCTCTTCTTGCATCTCTCCCTGCTGCTTTCTGCCTGCCTCAATCTTTCTTACCCAGGAAGAAGGCAGTCTTGAATAATGGTTAGGAGCACAGATTCCGGGGTAAGAAGAGACGCGGTTATAATCTTTGCTCCCCTGCACACTAGGCAAGTCCTTTACCTTTCTGAGCCTCATTCTTCTCGTCCCATGAAGAAGAGGAGGAGCTCTAATGTGAAATATAATTGTGAAGATTAGAAAAAAAATGATAAGGAAAGTGCCTAGCCCACAATATAGAACTTAAAAAGTTATAGCCAATATTAATAAACTGGGAAGCCTTTTGTGCCAGAGTCCTGATGGTAGACCAGAACTTAACCTCGTGTTTAAAGGAGGAAAAGAAAATAACAAAACAGGTCTTTGAGGTCTTAGGTTTCTAAGTCTGTGCCTTACGGAACTGTTTCTGCTGACGGGCATGCAGCATCTTCATATTAGGCAGAGATTGTTGTTTCAGTTCACACCGTATCCCCTCCCTTTCCTTAGAGGAGAGATAATACCTTCTCAAAGGTCTTCACGTCGATTGTCATTTGAGCCTTGTATCAGGCCTGGGTTGGATTCTAATTCAACTGAGGAATGGCACAGAGATCGTAACAAGTTCTCCACAGCAGGGTTGAAACACCTGCCCAGGATGAACTCTGCCAGCCTGGGAAGAGGATCAGGGAGGCTTCTCACTGCCCTGGTGCACTTTTATCCCATTCTACCAGTACAGCATATTGAGGAATGAGGATAGCTAGGGGCATAGGATCCCAACTGGGATGTTCAAAATGTTCAAAACTGCAACTTCTTCTGTCCTGACCCACAAATGGGCAATGAAGATCAAATCAGACATAACTAGAGTCTAAGAAGTTGGGGGGGGTGCTGGGTGGCTCAGTAGGTTAAGTGTCATACTCTTGATTTCATCTCAGGTCATGATCTCATGGGTTGTGAGATCAAGCCCCACCTCAAGTTCGCGCTCAGCAGGGAGTATGCTTGAAGATTCTCTCCTGCCCCTCCCCCCACTTGCACGCTCTCACAGGCTCTCTCTCTCTAAAATCAGTCTCTTTTTTTAAAGATTTTATTTATTTATTTAAGAGAGAGAGCGTGAGAGAGAGAGCACGAGTCGGGGAGAGGGGCAGAGAGAGAGGGAGCTGGAGGCAGGGCTAGATCCCAGGATCCTGAGAAGGCAGCCACTTAACGACTGAGCCACCCAGGCACCCCTGAAATAAATAAATCTTAAAAAAAAAAAAAAAAGAAGAAGTTGGGTGGGGATTCAGAGACCCCATAAGGAATCCCGGAGACCGAGAATATCCTGGGAGTACAAACCCCCCACTATGGCTGCCAGCAGGTCTCTATCTTTGGGAATGAGGGTATGTTGGCATCTGCGCCAACACTCCCCCTCCACCCCGCTACTGCCAGAAAATGGTCCTGAGGCTGATGCTAACTTTAGCATTGACTAAGGCAGCCCAGGATTGACCAGATAAACATACATATTCATTAACAGATAACGGCATAGGTAAGTTGTCAGTTAGCAGGCTGGAGACATCACCAGAAGTTCTTGAAAAGTCACTAGGGGCCATTAATTTTCAATAATGGGTCTGCATGTGCTCAGACAACAAGTGGGAGATTATTTTAAACTAGTTTAAGGGGGTGCCAGGGTGGCACAGTTGGATGAGCCTCTGACTTTTGGTTTCGGCTCAGGTCATGCTCTCAGGGTCCTGGGATTGGGCTCTGCGCTCAGTGCGAAGTGTGCTAGAGATTATCTCCCTATCCCTCTCCCTCTGCTCCTCCCCTGCTCTCTCTAGCTCTCTCTCTCTCTCTAAGATAAATAAAATCTTAAAAAAAATAAACAAGTTGAAGGCTAAGAGCGCCGGGCTGTTTCAGTGAGAAGAGCATGCAACTCTTGATCTCGGGATCGTGAGTTTGAGCCCCACGTTGCGTGTAGAGATTACATAAATAAATAAAACGTTTTAAAAACATTTAAAAATAAACTAGTTTAAGGCTAGAAATTGACAATCTGTTGAGAAGGCAGCAGTTGCCTATCTCTCATCCTGCACTGAGGAAACACTAGACCCAGCCATAGATTGCCTCTGGAGATAGGAAGGAGTGTATGTGCCTATCTTAAAATCACAATGACCAAGAAGCAAGAAACCCAGAGAAATCTGGGAACCTCGCCAGCTCAGGCTGTGTCAGGCAAGTCTAGACTTTATACAAGGTACAAACCCCTAAGCCAGCGGGAAGAGGGTTGACCAAACTTGGGTCTCCCGACCGCAATGACTTTTCAATATAAAATAGACTATATCTGGGGCACCTGGGTGGCTCAGTCAGTTAAGCAACTGAATCTTGGTTTCGGCTCAGGTCATGATCTCAGGGTGGTGGTGGGGGGGGTGGTGGATGGAGCCCTGGATGGGCTCTGCACTCACTGCAGGGTCTGCGTGTCCCTCCCCCTCCCCCTCTGCTCCTCCCCCAGCTCACACTCTCTCAAATAAATAAAATCTTAAAAAAAAAGATTGTATTTATGTGTTTATTTGAAAGAGAGAGAATGAGTGGGGTGAGGGGCAGAGGAAGAAGCAGGCTCCCCGCTGAGCAGAGAGCCTGATGCAGGGCTCAATCCCAGGATCCCGATGCAGGGCTTAATCCCAGGACCCCGAGACCATGACCGGAGCCGAAGGCAGATGCCCAACCAGCCTAGCCACCCAGGCGCCCCAGTAAAATAAATAAGATCTTAAAAAAAAAATAGACTATCTCTATCACAGACTAAGAATTCATTTTACCCTTTATTGTACCTTTTGTTTCTTGATCCTGACTTCCTTGATTCACTCAATAGGTATCTGCTGAGCTTTTTTTTTTATGCCAGGCATTGCTCAAAAACCGGCTTATGTGTGATAAACAATAAGACAGTAAACAAAGAACAAGATCATTTCAGACCATATAAGTGCTATAAAGAAAATAAAAGATATATGGGGTGACGAGTAGGGAGGGGCTTTTATATAAAGGCAGCTGGGGAGAGGCTTTCTGAGTGATAATTGAACGAAGAGCCAATCAGCGTAAAGATGCCAGCCATGGAAAAAACATCTGGATCTGAAGTTGTCTTAGCCTGTTCAGGCTGCTATAACAAAATACCACAGACTAGGGTCCTTATAAACAAAAGGTATGTGTTCCTCACAGTTCTAGAGGTTAGAAGTCCAAGATCAGACTTTTGGTGAAGCCTCTTCTGGATTGCAGACTTCTGACTTCTTGCTGTGTTCTTGCACAGTGGAAGGGGCTAGAGAGCTCTGTGGGGTTCTTTATGGGAACACTCATCCCATTCTCTCATGACCTAAGCACCTCCAAAAGGCCCTATCTCCTCGTACACTCACATTGGCTAGGAGGATTTCAACGTATAAACTTAGGGGTGGACACAAACAGTTAGACCATAGCAAAAATGTTCCAAAAGCAGAGATTAACAAGTTCAAGACCCTGATGTGGGAATAAACATTCAAAATAAAGGCCTATATGGCTGAATTAGAATGAAGAAAGAAGGAAACGGAAGAAGGAATCAGAGAACTGGTTAGGGGACAGATCATATAGGGCCCCTTAGGCCCTATATATCCATATAACTGGGGGAGAATTCTGACTCCAAACAAAGAATTTGTATTTCCATTGAAAGAAAGACATAAAAGCTAGACAAAATATATAAAATATCTTTGAAAGGAATTAGAAAGTAACCGATGCAATTTAGGAAATGAAGGGCGACAATCTTTGAGAAAAGGGATTTACACAGCCCAGATTTTTTTCTGGGTTATACTATCTAACTTGTAGGTCAAAAGAATTGAGCCCATGCAGAAAGCAACAATCTCAATGGGCCGAAAATGCAAAGGTAGGAGTTCAGAGCCCCCCAAATGGCTGGGACTTCAGGGTCAAAAGACTGGAGAGAAGAGAATCACAGAGAAAGAGCCAAAAATCTGTGAATGCATTTCTCACAAGTCTCTGGCTGACTCCTAAGCTGTGCAAGCACGGAGGAGACTCCACAAACCCAGAAGAAAACAAAAGCAGCCTCATGTGTGCTAGGGAAATAGAAGTTAGAGCTTAAACCCTGCTTAAGTATAGAAGCCTTGGTCAATGCCCTAGGCTTTAAACTGAGGCCTCAGAACGGTTACCCCCTGGGAACAAAAACCACACCCCAGGAGAAAGGACACCACCTGAGGACTGAGGGTACTGCACTAGAAGAAAAAGCAAAACTACAATAGTCCAACCCTAATAAAGCCTAAAACATACCTCAATGGGGTCAATGTCAACGTGACCCACCGGTACTCTGTCTACAAGAAGAAAACGTCAGGAGGGGAAGAATGAACGGGGGGAAATTGGAGGGGTAGACGAACCATGAGAGACGATGGACTCTG